GCTTATCACTTTTATGATGCATGAATGTAGCACAACCAAAAACACGTAAGTTGGACAAATCAACATTTTTACCCGACCAAACACATTCAGGCAAATCACCATTTAAAGGCACAGAGGGAGATCTATAATCAAATAGGTGGCAGTCAAAACAGCCTCACCCCAAAACATAGTTGGTAAACCCGAAGTGGTGAGCATGGCTCGAACCCTTTCTAAAAGAGTTCGATTCATGCGTTCAGCCGCCCCGTTTTGCTGAGGGGAGTAAGGAACAATTTTATGCCTTTTAATACCAGATTCAGAGCACATAGCATCCATTTCTTGATTACAAAATTTTGTACCGTTATCTGTCCTAAGGGTTTTTATCCGTTTTCCTGTTTGATTCTCAATATAAACTTTTCATGTTTTGAACTTATCAATAACATCAGATTTTTGTTTCACCAGGAAGACAAACACCTTACGAGAGAAATCATCAATTATGGAAAGAAAGTAACGGTTGCCGCCATATGTAGGAACACATGCAGGACCCCACACATCAGGATGCGCATACTCAAGAATATCAGAACATTTAGAGGGATTGGGGGAAGGGGTTGGTTGAAAATAAACACGAGTTTGCTTTCCAACGATGCAAGAGTCACACATAGTAACCTCAGACACTTAATCATTGCCAAAATAGTGATTGTTATGCAGAATGCTGAGACCTTTATTACTAATGTGACCTAGTCTATTATGCCACAAAATAGAATGATCACTTTGGACAACATTCACAGAAACAGAGGATTCAGAAGGATATACATACATATTTTGCATTTTTATGGCCTTAAAACATAGCAGATTATCCCTCATAATTTTCATGCAACCATTACCCCAACAACCATGAAACCCTTCATCTTCTAAGATAGCACATGAAATCAGATTTTGACTTAAATTAGGAACATGCCGCACATTTTGCAAAGTTAACTCATAACCAGTTTCAAACTTCAAGCAAACAGTTCCAATTCCATGAACTTGGCGTTTTGTGCCATCAGCCATAGTCACATTGCAATTATTCAAGGATTCATAGTGGGAGAAAACATGTTTCATATGAGACATATGATGTAAGCATGCATAATCTAAAAGCCAATCATTTTCACCAAGAGATGATAGCACATAATTCACACAAGTATGTTCACCAACCATAAACACATCACCAAGATTATTATCAGAAACATGATTAGCATGCTGATCATTAGAGTGTTTAATAGGCTTAATACAGTTCTGAGCATAATGACCAGGTTCACCACAATTATAGCACTTACGACTGTTAACACAATTTTTCGACTTGCTCCTGCCCCTGCCCTTTTTATTTTGAAAATTGTTTTGATGAGAACCATTTTGAGAAACATTTTGGTTACTCGAGGAAGGCTTATTTGAAAATCGTTTTTGTTGCCTTCCTCTCACAAAGTTCACCTCGCCAAAACTCTTATTGTTTTTGTTAACTCTCAAATCCAGTTCTTCACTGTTTAAACCATTTATGACAGTGTCAAGAGAAATATTATCCATTCCATACTTAATAGCAGATATCAAATCGTTGTAAGAATCAGGGATTGCATTTAACAAAACCATGGGAGTATAGTTATCAATACTTTTGTCTCCTGTCAGTTTAATATCCTGAACTAATCTGGTAAACTGATCTATGTTCTCATCAATATCTTTGATTATATCCAATTTGAATCTAAAAAACTTTTCGAGTAAAAATAATTTTGAGGGCAGAGAAGTTTCAGTGTACAACTCATCTAACTTTTCCCATAGACCTTTGGCAGAATCATGCATACCCACCTTTCTAATCACAGAGTCAGAAAGATTCAATATAATGGCAGAGTAAGCAAGTTCATCAAGTTCTTTTTTCTTAGTAGCACTAGTGTCAGCAGCATAAGATTTATCAAGAGCCACATAGCATCTTTGTTGAATTAACACACATTTCATTTTTTGTTTCCAAATAGAAAAATCACCCGTACCATCAAAATGAGCCATGGAATAAGCAGACATAGCAATAGTAATTTTTGCACAAAGCAAGATATTAGACCATTTTTTTCACAATAGGACAAAAGCGGGATAAGTGCATATGCAACAAGGATAGGCAATCTTGGAGACCCTCCCTCACAGGATTCCAGGGCACTTGCAGTCCCGTCAAGTGAGGTCGAGAATCCAAGTTATACCACCCTTTAATATTTATATATATAAGTGAGAAGTTTATATATATGCAGTGGAAGAATAATGTTCACACAGAAGCAAGAGTGGCACACAGACCACAACAGAACACAGAGTGGCTCACGGACCACGAATCACACAAAGTGGCTCACAGACCACAAAAGCTAAAAATAAGGCAGTACCAATCATTGCAGAAAGTTAAATCCCAACCATAGGGGGTTTAGGGTACAATACCTGAGCGGAATCCGGTTGGATTTCCGTACGCCCTACTTGAACGAGCACCTCCAACTTGACGATGCTCTGGTATCACTGTTGGGTGGCCGTTCAAATAGCATTAATATTACAGACCTTTAATCAAATGAATTACACAGATTAATAAGCCTAAGGGGAAGGGGATTAGGACTTAACAAATAAATTACATAAATAGTAATAATAATAAAACAAGAACTAGTCTGGGTAGATCTGAAAATCTGCCCGTTTTCACCTCCGGTGGAGAAGATGACACAACAACGGCTCAGTCCTCGTTTCCCGTGTCCACGTCCGGAGTCCAGTCGGCGGCAGCCAACACACTCCCGGTGTCAAGCTTACAGAACACACCCAGCCGTCGTAATTTCACCCGAGTGCTCGGATCTCAGCCTTACTCCGACTGTAGTCTCAACCCAACCCAAAACCCTAAGGAATCGAACTCACACACACAGTGTTTCCCCAGATCTGTTACCCTCACTCACAGAGGTCACGAAACCACTCACCACAGAGAGATTTGAGACAAGAAGGTAGAAGATTGGAAGATTTCGACACACTCTTCATCTTCAAGAAGAGATGTATATATACCCATACAGCTGCAACAAGAAAGGCAAGAGAATCGACCGAATCTCCAACCGCCATGAAATCCGGCGAAAGATTCGGCCGTCGAGAAGAGAGAGAAGAGTAGAGGTACAGCTGATAGGGTTAGGGTTTGGAGGCTTTGAGAGAGTGGGGACATTTATATGGAGAGTGAATGGCTGAGATCGAGACTTATCAACCAACGGTCCAGATTGACTCTGCTTTTGGGCCTTAAGTTATCTGTTGGGCCGACACCAAATAGGGCTGCACAACGTGGGTTAGAAATTTTGGGCCAAATAAACATTTGGGCCCCTTTTATCTAACATTTAATGCACTTCAAATATGTGAATCAAACATTCATGATCTGTATTTTGAGCAACTTTAGTGACTGCTACAGCACAAATATTTTTTTTCAAAACATCTTTCCCCAAAATAAATGAGTAAACATTAAAAAATACCATAATGTATAATCTCGAAGTGGTGGAAAACTCTCTATGATAAATAAACTAGCAAAAAATCCTCCGGTGCACTTTAGTAACACTTGTCGGATGTGCATCTGGTAGTTGATCAGTGGACCTGAAATGACACAATTGCCCCATTTAATCTCCATCTTCCACCTTCAATTCCAGCAATTTCGGTTGAAAATATTTAGGATAACATTCATTTTGCACCCCTAAACTATGCAAAATGTATCATTTACCCCTGATGTAAAGAAAACATCAAACGTCTTCTAATTTTGACGGTCAATGGTCAAGTTTTTAACAATGTTAACTTTGATTGTGCAGTGACTCTTTTACCCCACTTTATGTCTCAAAGAATCCCCAATTTTTTTATATGTTGTTTCACTCTCTAAAAAACCCTCCCTATTACCCTCGGATTTCTCTTTCTCTTCGAATCTTAAATAACCGAAATCTACCAAATTTCTATCATTCTCAATGTTTTCATGAAATTCGCAAAAAAAAAAAAAAAAAAAATCTTGTTAAGCACATTATTTCATTCATTTTATGTGTTTTTAGGTTTTTTTTTTGTTTTTTTTGTTTTTTTTTTGTTTTGCATTCATGATCTGCAAAGCTTCATTTTTATTGATTTGATTTTTCAAATTTTTTATGCAACACAATAATATTACTGTCAACGGCATCGATATAATTAATTTTTTTGGGTATTTTATTTTGTTTGAGTTATTGACGGGTAACGTAATAATATTATTGTTAATATTGTAATATTACTGTAAACACACTAAAATTATTCAGGTTGACGGTAATATTACCGTTGTTGTCATCCACAGTAATATTAATTCTTTTGGCTTTTATTATGTTTACCTTTGTTTAACGGTCAACATATTAATATTACTCTATTACACAATAATAATGGATTTTATTGTGTTAATATTACTGTGTTGGGGATTAATATAGCAATATTACTCTGTTAAATTGTAGTATAGTTAATTTTACTGTGTTTAACAGTAATACAGTTAATATTACTGTCAACCACAACAATATTGTTGTTTAAACGGGGGGGAGGGGGGGGGGGGGCAAAAAGATGTTAAAGAAAAAAAAAAACCTCATCGCCCGAGACCTGAGGTCAACGGCGGCGACGGACGAAATTGTCCATAAAATTGCATTTTGGGTCAAAATTTAATAATTTGTGAAATTTTGGGTCAAATTAAGGTTAGATTAAAATAAATGATGAAATTAGAGCATATTAAAATGTGAGGGGATATTTTAATCTTTTACAAATATTTGAACCATGTGTAGGCTTTTTTTTTTAAAAAACTTTTTGTCTAAAGCCCTTCATAAATAAGTATCCTTTAGTGGGCTTATTTATAAAGGGCCCTAAAATTAAAGTTAAATATCATTTTTATGTGAAGGATTCTATTTGAATTAGGTATATCTAATATATATCAACCACACGATCAATAGGGGTTGGCAAAAATTATAGAGTTAGAAATGCAAGATGTTTCACACTCCACGTCGTCATAATTTCCTAGCTCACTATGTAAATGTATGTTGTAGAAGTGCCTAACATCGATCTTAATTATGAATATAATGCCTAACCTTTTCTTTTATTGTTGATATAGATAATGTTGCATATTGATAATCAACCCATGCTATAAAAGAAGAGACGAGGGTTAGTTATAATTCATTGGAAATTAAATAAAATAGTATAAATGGAGAAAAAACAAGACACAAAAGAGGATGACGAGTTTTCAGAGTCGTTGCTTCAAACACTTGAGCAACAAACAAACTGGGACGGCAGTCCGATGGTGAAATACCAAGGCTTTTGGTATTTGAAAATATTTTTCCGACAAGAACTTGCGTCTTATAAGCATTTCAAAGCAAAAGATTCTGACGTTATATTGTCAACCCTTCCTAAAGCAGGAACCACCTGGTTGAAAGCCCTTGCTTTCTCAATAGTCAACCGCGGTACTATTTATCGTGATATTGATCAAAACCCTCTACTCACATGCAATCCCCACAAACTTGTGCCTTTCCTAGTCGCATTTAAAGAAAATAAGCCTAATCAATTAGATAAACCCAATGATCCAAGAATCTTTGCGACCCACGTGCCTTTCAAAGCCCTAGCTTATTCGATCCGTGAATCTGCATGCAAAATTATCTACGTGTGTAGAAACCCTTTGGATCTGTTCGTCTCAGCTCGTCTGTTCTTAACCGAAAACAAGCTTGAGAAAGATCATGCGGGCCTACTTGGTTTAGACGAGAGTTTCGATATGGCTTGCGAGGGAACTCATCCGTACGGGCCCTTTTGGGATCATATGACTGGCTACTGGAATGCCCATCTGGAGAATCCTCGTAAAGTGTTGTTTCTAAAGTACGAGGATATGAAAGAGGATATTGTTTTCAATGTGAAGAAGATTGCCGATTTTCTCGGTTGTCCTTTTTCATCGGAGGAAGAAGAACGAGGCATGGTTGAAGAGATTTCGAAGATGTGCAGCTTTCAGAGTTTGAAGAATGTGGATAAGAATGGATATTCTATCAAAGGTTTATTTAAGAATAGTACATTCTTTAGGAAGGGAGAAGTTGGAGACTGGAGCAATTATTTGACTCCCGCCATGGCTGAGCGCATGAAGAAGCTCATGGAGATCAAGTTCCAGGGGTCACCTGGTTTAACATTCAAGATCTAATAAAAACAAGACACTTGGTCCTTACATATATATAAAAATAAATATATATATATATATATATATATATATATATATATATATATATATATATATATATATATATATATGTGTGTGTGTGTGTGTGTGTGTGTGTGTGTGTGTGTGTGTTTTGTGCTTTGATTTATGTTCTCCTTTTTATTATGTGACTCTAATAAGTGTGTCTTTATTAGTTGGTATTGGTGTTTATGTTGCTTTCATCATTAGTTATTGAATAAAGGGCAAACTGCACTTCGAATGTGAATTCTCCTCACATGCTTGACTTTTGATTTGAAAAAATAGAGTGATTGAGCAAACTCGGAGGGCTGAAGAATTGTTTGAAGGTTGGGTGGTGGTGATGCATGTAGTACAGAGAATGTTCTTTGGAGAAATTGCAATCAAGTCCTTATTCGAGTTTCGAAGCATAAATTGCAATATGCCTTCTTTTTTTTCAATTCAACGTGAACACTATTTTGTATTATTTAATTGAAGGGTATATTTGTCTTCTTACTTTCAGTCAATGATTAAAACCACAATGGGTCAAATGTGTTATTTAAAAAATTTTACAGGATTTTTTTGCTAGTTTTTTTATCCCATAGAGTTTTCTATTATTTAGAAATTACAGAGGGATACGTTTCGTAGTTTACTCCAAAATAAATGATACTTTTCGCATAATTCATGGGTGCAAAATAAATTTTACCCAAATATTTATTTAGTTTTTAAATTAAAGTAATATTAGAGTATTGCACTTTATATTAAGAGTAAAAAACAGTTTGCCCCCTAAAGCAATGACCGATTTTGCACTTTGCCCCCCAAACAATTTTTTTTACACGTTCTTACCTAAACTCGTTTTTCTATTGCACGGTGCCCTAAAAGTGCTATTTTCCGGCAAATATCACCGGGATCTCACACACGTGCCATTAACGTGAGTTTTGGAGGGGCAAATTTGTCTTTTTACTTTTATTTTTGTCTGACTCCAATTTTTTCTTCGCTCTTCCATTTTTGTCTTCTTCCCCAACAATATGGTTCGAATCATGGCTACTTCTATCCATCTCCACAGCCCTTTGTGCACCAATTTCTACGCAAAATAAATTTCAAGAAGCAAAACTAATCATAAATCATCTCGATATTCCCCAAACGCACACTAAAGATATTATTCCCACAGCAAATTCAACCCCTACAAAATCTTGGGGGCAGAGGCCTCTGCAATGGCTAAGAGTGTTCTTCAAAAAAGAATTTAAAAACCCCATATCAAAAGACACCATCTCCACGGAGCTATTAGGGCTAACGAGTGGATTTCCGGATGTTGAAAATGGGTCGAAAAAATTCATCGACGAAACCCACCACAATCTCCTCCATCCCTACCCGTATCTCCGCTTTCTACCACCACTTCCACGGCGGCGCAGAGAAGAATTTCCAGGAACAACTACAAAATCAAGCCATTAAAGACACACCCAAGGTTTCACTAAGATCAAAACAAGCCCAAAAAATTTACCGAAATCCCCCAAAATTTTCATCGGATAAGTAATGATTAATTCATAGTTAATATATAGAACATAAGTGAAAGGGAAGAATTTACCCCTGCAAATATCACGTGTAACGCACGTGTTTTAACATTCCAATCAAAATTGCCGGAAACTTCAGTTTAGGGGGCACCGTACAACGAATTAACGTGTTTAGGTAGAAACGTGCAAAAATATTTTGTTCGGGCGGGAAAGTGCGAAATGGCCCATAGTTTAGGTGGCAATCTACTTTCTACTCTTATATTAAATATATCGAGTTGGAAATGAATGAAAATATATTTTAAGACGATGTTCACTTTGTACCCCTAAATTATGAGATGTGCTGCATACATATCCCTCAATTATGAAACGTAACAAATACACCTTTTCTGGTCAAATATACAAAAAATATAAATACATTAATTTTGTAATGTTTTGTTGTGCACTTACAATCTTACACCCACCGTCTATGATAAATATGTGTGAATTTTAACATTCAGTCTGTAATTTTTGTAACATAATTTATTCTCTTTTGGCCTTTATAAGAGAGGCACACTTGTAAACATGTTATGCTGAAAACATCAAGAAATGAATTCATCTTTATCCTCTCAACATTTCTAGTTTTATCATGGTAATCAGAGCCACAAAAGGACTCACGTCCACAGATCCCTAGTCACCATTTTTTTTTCCGTCAATATGGCATCTTCTTCCACCTCCCCTCTCTCTCCCTCACCACCATCCTTCTCCAACCCACCACCCTCTCCCTTACCACCGGTTTTCTCTACCCCTTCATCTGTTCTCACTATAAATCATGCTAACTCAACGGCATGTTAAGGTAGCGGACCTGGACCTGGTGCCCACAAGGAATCAATCCTCATTGAAGTTGAAATTCCCACATTGCGGCTGCCAAGATTCGATCCTAGGACCTTGTACCAATTTACCACCTCCAGAACGAGTTGAGCTACACCCATACGGGCTGTTAACACTAATACTAATTGTATTATTTGTGGTGATATTAACTATACTATTGTCTAACATAATACTATTATTTATTTTCTAACACAGTAATATTTAAACAAATATTAATATTATTGTCTAAGACAATAATATTTGTTTTATATTTTTTTGACCGGTCAACACAATATTTGTTGCAACCAAATTATTTTGTAACACAATAATATTGTTGACAATAATATTATTGTCAAGCACAATAATATTACAGCGATGAATGTCGGTTAGCGGTGGAAAATTGCTTTTAAAAAAAAACCAACGATACCAAAAAAATCAGAAAAAAATAATATAAATGTAAATCCTAACATTGATCACGACTCCCAGATTGTCCGTAGTAAAAGGTACGTTTTGTAACGGTTTTGTACCGCAGTAAAAAACCATTTTTTCCATACTAGTATTTTAAATATATATATATATATATATATATATATATATATATATATATATATATATATATATATATATATATATATATATATATATATATATATATATATTTAAAAATTATAAATAATATATATATATATATATATATATCTATATATATATATATATATATATATATATATATATATATATATATATATATATATATATATATATATATATATATATATATATATATATATATATATATATATATATATATATATATATATATATATATATATATATATATATATATATATATATATATATATATATATACCCTAATCTGTAAAATTGAAGTTAAACATCATTTTTTATACAGAGGATTCAACTTGAATTAGGTATATATATCTAATATCAACCACACGATCAATAGGGGTTGGCAAAATTATATAGAGGTAGAAATGCAAGATGTTTCACTTTCCACATCCTCATAATTTCCTAGCGACTATGTAAATGTATTGAATTACGTGGATTATTTTCACATGTTGTTTTTAACTTTCTTATTTTCTAACTAAATTTTAGTTATGGAATAAATAGTGCTTAGTGGGTTAAGTATAGTGCTTAGTGGGCTAAGTAGTGCTTAAGTGGGTTTAATTGTGAATATTATTCTAACTCCTTAAACTAACCCACTAACCCACTAACCCATGTTCTTGAGTGCTCTTGTAGTTGGTTTTCTTGCAGATCATGGGCTGAGGAGTGGATGCTTGGAATGCCTATAAATACCAACTTCAATACTCAAGGAAGATATCGATTCCAAGAAGAAAAAAACCGAGAGCTGAAAAGAAAACATGAGTGTTTTAGAGTGGTTTTAGAATCGGTCGTTTGTACTCTTCATGAGTATAATCTTTACGTACTCCTTATGAGTACATTCTTTACGTACTTCTCATAAGTACATTCTTTGTAGTCTAGATTGTTTAGTATATATGTTTCTAGACTTGGTTGTAAGAATGATCAAGATAGTGATTCATTCATAAGTTTTTTACGTACTCCTCACGAGTACATCTTTGAAATCTAGAATTTTTAATATTTTTCTTTTAGTATCTAGATTTGATTGTAAGAATGATCTTGAAAAAGATTCATTCATAAGGAAGAAGTTTTCGCACCTCTTCTGTTTGTATTCTCGGAATACTGATTTTAATATATTTTTCGTCCTGTAAAGGACAAGTTCACAAGTCTTTACTTGTGAACATTTTTAATTCTGAGTACTGTCTGTTAATCTTTATATTTCCGCTGCATGTTGTCTCAAGTGTCACAACATTTTAGATAACATCTCTGTATTATACGAATTCGGGACCATAAATTCTTTCAATTGGCATCAAGAGCCAACACTTGACGTATACTAAGTGTTTGTTCCTATTTTCTTTACAGAAACGAATTCGTGATGGATACTCAGATGACTGCTTCTATGCGACCTCCTGTACTTGATGGCACAACCTACACCTACTGGAAAGTCAAGATGAGGGCGTACATCAAAGCCATTGATGAGAAAGCTTGGAGATCTATTCTTACTGGATGGAAGCCACCAACTATCACATATGCGGATGGGGATGTATTTCCAACACCAGAATTACGGTGGACAAAAGACGATCTATCAAATGCACTCCAAGCAGAATTAGAGAAGGAAGATGTTGCTCCGGAATATGATGATGATGCAGAAGAATGCCTCAACAATGTGGCATTTCAGATTCAGAAATTCAATAGGGAGTACAGACGAAGTGGAATCAAGCCCAGGCAGTTATTTTCAGAAGGGTCTCCACAAAATCGACAAACTCAGCCCCGGAACAGATCTATTCCACAGAGAACATTTCCTCAAACACCTTCTCAAAACAATTTAAAAAATTCTTCCTTTATTCGTTCAAATTCTGAACCACCTAACTTGGATCATATTAAATGCAGGGCATGTTCAGGATTTGGACATTATGCTAATGAATGTGCAAATACCTTGAGAAGAAGAGGAATGAGTCTGATTTGTGCGGTCAGTGATGAGGAGGAAGAGCAACCTGAACAGACAGAGGAACAACAATCCTCTAAACAAGCCCTTTCTGTCAGATATCTCACTGGAAGTGCCTCTGAAACA